TCGTAGTCATGCAATACAGTAGTCTTAGCAATGCTCTATATGAAGGCTATGAATTGTAGATTTAAAATGTGTGTCAGACTTCATTTACTTCATTTTACTATATGTATTCATTTACAGATCCAGATCCAGTTGTCTCTGGTGCTGGTGCCTTCCTGGCGCCAACCGGTCCAAAATTCCAGGCTCAAATGAACAATGCACGTTAAGATATTTGTGTCTGATCTGGGACTTGGACCTTTGGTTTGAAATTCTTGACCTCAAAAAAACTTTTGTTCTACGAGACACCTGACTGATACAACACATTTTCATGGTTTTGAGCCCATTTGTGTCTGCATTTACTGAGTGGTTCAGATCCATTCCAGCACAGAATCATGTGGAGGAACAGAACTTTTCCTCCTGGGAAACAGAGTAAATTCTGGAGCAGGTACGACCACATGACACTTAAATGACTGATGTCAATAACTTTCTGTTTGATGTGCAGGAGACAAATTCCTTAAAAACAAGTGGCAGGGAATCCCAGGCAGGATTGACACCTGGGGGTTCATAGACCCTCACTCACTGATCCACAGCCTCCCAAAGCAAAACCCAATCATTCATTGAATTATACTGTTATGATTATATATGTATGAAGTCATCGGTTCGGTCAGTACATGCTGTACCCTGAGTTACAATCAAATGTTTTTGCCACTTGCAGCTTTTTTCTTTCCGATTATTCGTCTTCGTGCAATCACAGATATTACATGCAACATATGGTCCGATAAGAAATAAAACCTAATCACCTGTATCTCCTGAAGAGCTCGTCGCTCTCCTTGAATCCGTTGTTGAGCAGCATGTTGATTCCTTGCAGAGCCATCTCAGCATCATCTATGTGCTCTGCCTTCTCCTCCACTTGCTGCTGCTGCTGCTGCTGCTCGGGACCCGCCATTGTTTATACCACCGCTCAGAGGCTGCGGGATCAAACCACTGCGATGGAGAAATAAATATGATCTGGATGCGTCTCTGGAACAAACCCGCATTGGTTTATTTCCACAGACAGAGGACACGGATTGAAACAGGGACGCGCCTCTGGTTCGGCTGGAAAAGAAAAAACAGCAGCTTCTGCAGGCTCCAGCCGTCTGTGCGCGTCAGGGAGAGGCCAGTGGTGTCCGCACGGACTCAGTCACTCTGCAACACCCACGCACTATCAGCATTGTATGCTTCTTGCTGAGGTCAATCACAAACCAACACGCCGTCGGTCGTTAGTAAATCAGCCATCCGTCACTTTGCAGCATCCGATGCATTACATTACATAACACAGAGCGGGCATCCAGGCTGCTCCGCCAGCCCCACGTAATGCGCTCGTCGAACGGCCTGGCGTCATAACGCACAGCGCATCGTGCCGGCAGGATGGAGGGAGGAGAAACCCGCTGAGGCAAAGCTGTATCGTGTCAGCCTCCATCAGTCGAGCTCACCCCTCCCATCCTCACACCCATATCCCCCCTCCTCCTCCTCCTCCCATCCTCACCCACAGCCAATGGACGCACAGCTGGAGCAGCCTTCAGCCTCACAGGAGACAGACAGGAGAGGGGGAGAGAGATGGAGCTGCCGGTCACGCTCTAGTTTTATTATATGGACAATAATCATTATTGAATTATTTTATATCATCATGACACCTGATTGAAACCTGTTCTTTTAAGATCCTTTAACACAAATGATTGTCTCTACATTTCACAGCTTGTGGATTTAATAGCATTATTACATATTATGACATATTGACATTCATATTTTCTATTCTATAAATACATCGGATAAATCATTTCCATGTTGGATATTTTTCAAGGCCCTGACAAACCACTATATTATATTATAATCAGGCTCTGTTCATTGGCAACTTATTGTATATAGAAGAAATCATACAGCAAATGTTATATTTGAACAATACTATTAATAATAAAACCAGAGGAATTGATAATCTTGCAGTGGTCTCTTTGAATCTGAAAATTCTTCTCAAGCCTCACAAGCTGCTTCCGTCCAGAAGTGGAGGACTGAATTATTTCTTACTTTATTGGTGTTTCTAGATTTAATAGACATTGTACTACTAGTATTTTTTTACTACATTATAATACATTGTAATACTGTGTAATATTTGTACCACTGTGTCATTTTGTACTACTATTTGATACTTTTAAGGATTTTTCAAACTGTTGATATTTCTTGTTTCATTGAAATACCTTGAATAATTGTTCTCTTTTACAGGATGTAAATAAAATGTATTGATTGTATTTCAGTCCAGTGCCTCATCATAACACAAAGTCAACTAAAGATTCAGGCCTGAGTGAAATGCATTTTTCAGGTGTGTTATTATGGACGGGGATTAAAACTGAGCAGATCTCAGGATGCATTCAGATCTGTATCGCAGCATTGAACACTTGTGATTGGATCTGAGCTGTGACTTAGTGATGATCAAACCTTTATCAACCAATCAAATGTATTCATATAGCACGGTATCACAACAAACAGCTGTCTCAGGGTGCTGCACTAAAGTCCAAGAACTTAAGAAAGACAAAATCCAACTTGTTCCACTCCGAGCAAGCATGAGCAAGTGTAAGGGGTGAGGAGTGTAATCTTATAGAATGGTTGCAGATTCAGAGGATATCTGGGGAGAGACGCTGTCTGTCGGTGACGTTAGATAAACAGAGGGCGGAAGCAGCAGACGCCGGTGCATACAATCATTTATTACAGGGTTTTCTTTTAACAACAGGAGTCCTGCAATACAATAATACAAACTCTCTCAATGAGGATCGAAAAGCCAGGTGGGTCAATGTCTGTTAAAAAAGAGAAGTCTCTGCTTCTTAAAAGAAAAGTCTTCCAGACCGGGACAGTGGTAACACGTGGGGTTCAGAACTGCGGTCAAGTGAGCAGACGTTCGTCTTTTTCTGATTTCAAGTGCGCCCGTATTACAGAATGTATGGCAAAGGCAGGTAGTCCATGATACGGAGCGAGCCAATCTTTCATGCTACTGTAAAATCCCTTTATTCCATACTTTATGACAAAGGTTGATCTCAGGACCATCCTGACTGTTCACTCACTCAGTATCAAGACTATTTACTGTATCATTTTGGAGAAATTCAGCCTCAAAGTTCATTATTTTGAATTGAAAAAGGCATTATGTGCAATATTTACTCTACTGTCAAATCTCTTTATGACGCGTCGTAACACTCTGGATTTTTCCGTCTCCGTCTCGGTGTCTTTCGCCGGGTCTTCCTCTCCATCTTCTCCAGACGCGCTCGCTCCCTGTTGCCACTCCTCCTCCACGTTTTGTCCGGTTTCTCCTTCCGGTTCAGACCCTTTCTTCCGCCGTCGATTGGTTCGTTCTTCTCCCAGGTGCAGTGCGTTCAGCATTCTGTGCTGCGTCTCGTGGCAGTGGGACATTTCTGAAACATGCAGTGAAAACTAAAAACACACTGGGGAATAAAGACATGCAAGGATGAAACTGTAAAATATCAAATAAAACCAGTCCACACTGCCGTGCGACACAAGCAACAGAGACTGTTCGTCCTCCAAAGGGGGGCGTGGCAGAAGAAGGTTGACAACCACTTCCGCCGCGCTCAGCTCGATCACACTGATCACATATATATCCATGAACTCTCCTCACACTTACCTGCAACCAGAATGACTTGTTATCGACACACGGGTTAGAGACACACACACGCACAGAGGAAAAGTCAACAGAAGCTTCAAACTTTGGACCAGACGGGGG